AAGGTTGCCCATAACTGTAGGGTCACTCAACGCCAAATCGATCATTTTTTGACCTCGATGCTAGGGATTTTGTTCTAGATGAAACATGACGCAGAGAAATTTGGAGGGGAGAGATTATCGTGTCGCTGGTTTCATGTTTGTTTTCAATCCTGCAATATTATATTTGATTTTAAATCTTTTGCACTTACAAGGTCATCATTCGGTTTAATACAATAATTTGAATTAAGTATTTCCTAACCAAATTTATTTTCTGAATGTAAAAAGTTGAATTTTGCAATTTTTGTTTATTTTCATAAACATAGGCTATAAGTGTGTATTTTTATCTCAGATCTCTTTATCAAATTAAATGTAATTTTTTTTATTTCTTTTCATTTTTTCATTTCATTCTATTTTTATTTCAATCTAGAGACTGATCGTTAGCAATGCCTTTATTTAAAAAATTGATTCTGTAACATTTTTTATCTAAGAAAATATATTCCGTAACACTAAATATGATAAACATATTCTTATTTGATGTTTTCTCCTTGAAGGATAAATTGCTTTCAGATTGAAAAGCGTTTTCATTTATCTTCAAATTCATAAATCATTCGGATGCTAATTACTTTCAGAATGTTCACATTATATTAATAATTCACTATTTTTTAGTACATAGGAAGTAATGAGTATTTCCGTAATAATACAAAGACCGGATGTATTCTTCATGTGATCGATTCAATTGCTTCAGTTGTTAATGTAATTGCTTGCGGGATAATAGGGAAAGCATATACCAGCTAGTATAATAATATAGGGTGTAGCAGTGATATATGTGAGACTTAGTTCACGAATAGACAAAAACCGCGAAGACAATGAAGAAAGTTCATAAGAATATGTGTTTTATTCGATTTTGTTTCAGTTTTACACATTTTTGTGTTTCGGTAATGATTATCGAAATATTCAAGAATTGTTTGGCGCTTTAAAGAACAAAAAGTAAAAGTAAAAGAATAAGTTGAATAAATAAAATAGATTGACGGAATATATGAAATCAAAATGAACAAGGAATATTTACAAGTATAGAGTATTGTTTTCAAAATCAGGCTAAGGGTGGCCATGTTGAACGTCTTTGTGGTCGCCATTTTGAGAAACAAAACTACCTATAGCTTTGAAAAAAGGTTAAATAGTAAAATTTATATGAATTTTTATTCGACGCTGAAGTGAGTCTCACATGTTATACTATTAAAATTTTTGCAATTACAAAGTTTGACTGATCGAACTTTGAACCATTTAACGTATTAGTAATAAATGCATTATAATGTTTTTTAACTTGGTATAGAGATACCCATAAATTCACAAAGTAAACATAAATGAATGCGTATTGAAATCTTAAAATTTCTAATTTTTAACTTTTATTTTTACTAAGTTACCCCGTCGTTATCTACTCTATCAAAATTATGCGAGGAAAATTCTACGAAATGTGTAACCATCAAAGTGTTAGGAAACTATAATTATAACTTCAGAAGCTTAACCAGAATGGTTTTGCTATTATACTACAATTATGATGTAATATAGATGCGTTAACGATTCGTAATTTCTGTGTAGATAGGCGTATTAAACCGAAATATCGAGGGTGCATAAATTAAAGTCATTATTGATGTGTATGATACTTCAAAGGTTAACTATTAGTAGTTCAAAAAGTGTTAACACGTAAAGTGTTCATTAATAATGACATGTTATTAATGAATATTATCTGATGCAAGATAAAATTGTAAAGTAATATTTGATATAAAATAGATTCATGAATCAAGATAGAATTATAAGATAATACCTGATATAAGATAGATTCATTAACAATATCTGATATAAGATAGAATAAAACACTTTATAAGTGGATTTCATTTACGAAAATAAAATGGTACATGTGTACATATGTATGTATTGTTTTTGCTTCATTTTCAAAATGAATCTTTATGTTTTATTTCTGTTATTTTAGTTCTTTTGATTGCTTCCATTGACAATGAGAAGTTAACCCCGCTCCCTTTCCCTCAATAATATTTCTACAAAACATTTAGCATAAATGTAAATTATTTGCAATTTTTGTACCTACAATAACTAATTAATAAAATAACAGAAATATATAAATAGAGCTGAGTACACCATTAAAATTCATAATAATTTCATAATTGAAATTAATGTGTTAGAGAAAAAGCGGAGGAAAAACTAAGAAACTGAAGTTTGACTCAAATACATATATTTTTAACAAATCTACTGAACTATCGCTCGCGCTACTATCTTCTCTCACTGTCTGATTTGATCTAAATCCCCTAATTTCTAGCGGCTCGTACCTTTAGTTTCTCTCTCTCTCACTCTTTTTCTCGCACTCATCGCTCATTCGTCAGTCCATTTGTTCTTGCCATTCGCGCGCATTTACAAAATCTATAACAATTGTTTGCTATTTATAAATACTAGAAAGGAGTTCAAACTGTAAGGATGGCTATACTTCACACAGAATTTCTACAAATATTATTATCGTTCCATTTCCCTTTTCACGTTCTCTAAAAAGTCGTCAACATAATGTGTCGCTTTTGGGCTTTCCTGAAGCTTTTATTGGGAACGCATCCCCATTTCGCATTTTCGGAAAAAACAAACTCGTCGGTACTGTGGGCCTAGAAAATATCATCTGGCGAGGGGGCGAAAGTGACCGGATCACAATCCTCGCCAAAAGTCCCTGATTTACAATGGCCCTAAAGAGGCTCTAGCCATCGTCACTATTAATTGTTTACTCGCTTTTACAGAACCGAATTTTTAAAGTCACGAAACTCGAAACCATAGCTTTATCAAATTTCGAAGCTCTTGAAACTCGAAACTCTCGTAACTTGAAACGGTGAGTTTGCTTCGCAAGAGAAATATCTTGTTTTGAGGGTCGAATCTAGTGACAAAATATCCAGGCGAGTTTAATGACGTCATGCAGTGGTTTGCAGAAGTTCAACGACCTTTGTCTATCTCGTGTGTTTTTGACGATTGAAAATTTTGAAGATTTTATGAAGATTTTTTTCTGTGAGGAACCTTAGTTTCCAGCTCATCAAATTTTAGAGACAAAATTGCAAAATCGATTTTAGTATTGACTTAGATTAGAGTTTTGAGAATTCTATGCAAAAGAAATGATAGCGAGTACTTACAGTATTGCTTTGGAATAAGCAACACGCTTGGGACCGGCCAGTTGCTTATTTCGATGGTGGTATGCTATTCGACTTGCGTTTGTTTTTTATATTATTGTGGGAGTGAATTGTATTTTATGTTTGTTTAGTTGTTAAATGTTTGTAGTTTGTTAATCGTTGTGAAATTGTATGTATGATATGTATGACTGCAAGTGTGAATGACGATTTATGAAAGGAACAGTGTGAAATGTTAAGCGGAAGTAGTTGCTAGCGTTTAGAAAAAAGTGTTGTTGTGGTGTTAGTTTAGAAACGGAAACGGAACGGTCATGACGTATTAAAAACGCCACGAATTACGAATTAGTTTTACGTTTTACGATTTACGTTTAAAGTTCAATACGTTAATGTGTTCTTGTGTTCTTGTTTATTATTGTTATTGTGTGCTCTTAAATAAATAAAAGGATAGTTCTACAAATACTATTCCTACATTATTTTATATTGTATGTGATAGAGTGAGAAAACAATATACATGTTCTGTCCTCTTTCCACGACTCTTTCATAACTTTTGTTTTACGGACCTCTACCTCCGTCGCCGATCTCTCACTCGACGGCGGACTTCAATCAAAGAAGTGGGGATAAAAATTTGCTAATTTCGAAACTCGAAACTGTTGCTTGTTTCGAGGCAAGACTGTATTACTTTTTTACAAAATGCCATTGGAGTTTAGAATTCGTGTTTTACACATTTCTGAAAAATAAATATCTACTATCCTCGTATCTTCTAACCAAAACTACATAAGATACACAAAGGTTGTCGAATTACTGCAAGTTACCACATGATGACATTAAACTCACACGTAGGATTTTTAACCGACTTCGAAAAAGGAGGAGGTTACTCAATTCGATCAGTAAGTTTTTTTTTTTTTTTTTTTTTTTTTCTATGTATGTTCGCGCATTGCGCCTAGCTGGATGGACCGATCGGAATGAAACCTTTTGCATATGGTAGGTGCTGACTCCCTATTGGTACTATTATCAAAGAATTTTTCATTTTTTATCTGGAAAGTGTTGTTATTGCAAAACAACCGGCAACTTTTTTCTTTTTCTATATATGTTCACCGATTACGCCTAGTTTAATTCATATCTGTGACGTAATTGTATGATTCAAAGAAATAGAAATTACTTCATTAGGAAATAGAAATTATTTTATACTTTTTAGTGCATTTCGAAGTCGGTGTATTTTTTTTCTGAAAATTATTTTATTTGTTACTAAATTCGACCCTTAACATTTAGCCACTTAACAGTGGCTCGTCATTATATTTCTCTTGGATCTCATAAATAATTCAGATAAATAGACTGATTAAATATGTATATTATCATTTGTTTACTACTTGTAATAAAAGAAAAATGTATCTGTCACATACTCCGTCCTGTTGCAATACATTTTATTGAGAAGCCCTTGGTCTATTTTGTAAATTGAAGAGTTGGTAGATGAAAGAAAATGAGGAGTGCAAATATAAGAATCGATGTCGACAAAATTTTTCAAGCTCGCAAACATCACGCTTGCAGTTCTACGATTACTATCGAATATCTGCTTATATCTTCGAAAACAAAACTAATCAACGAACATTCGTAACGCATCGCACCGAATCTTTGCGATATACGATACGCGAATCAAATATTCTCGAGGCACGCTGCAACCGATTCTTTATTTACTGAATTTGTTCATTTTCTTATCTGGGTTTCGAGAGTTTCGAATCGCGAAGAAAATGCAAAGCTTCGAAACTCGAAACTTTCTTGTGTTTCGAGGAGTTTTGAATTTTTGACGTTTCGAAAAATCTATTTCTAGTAAATAAATGTGAGCGTTTATATGCATACCTTCATTGCGAACATACGATGTCCGTATGAGTAATGGACGATTCCATTTGGACTAGAATCTGTTTGAACTCCTTCTGCAACAGCAAAGGTAAATTAAGTTAGAATTGTAATTGATAAATAATAACTATGTAATGATAGAGAACAAGTCATTACAGTAGTATGTGGTAAATACATATGTATAACTTTGTCATAATTAATAAATGGTGTTCTAAAAAACATAATTGACATAAATAATGTTCATGCGCCAATGATCAGAGCAATCGAGGCCCTAACAAAATCAACAACAAATAAGGTTAATAATTGTACTGATCTTTTTTATTAATAGTGTAGATATTTTGTTAATATTTGTTCTTTTATTCCAAAAGAAAAATAAAATAAATAGGTACTAATTTAAAATAATAATGCAAAACACTATTATCCATGAATTATTATAAATTTTAATGATATAAAATATTTCTATTCGAAGATTCATTATTACATTGCTACAATCAGTAGCAAATATAACATTTCTAGCAGCAAACCTTTTTACTTTTTGTTACATGGTGCATATTTAACATTTTATTTCAAATTTCACTTCACAATATTTAACGCTTTTACACTGTTTCGACATTCCTTTAATTCATTATTTAATTTTTGTAACCATTAGATTTATTGTTTAACGTTAGAAAATTATTATGGTATTTCTAAATAGTAGAAATACTGTATAATACTTAAATTTGCAGAAACAGAATATATACAGCTACAAATAAATTATATATTAGCTATTCCGTAAACATTAATTATTAATTAATGATCTATTTTCAAATAATTTGAGTATTTTAACAAAAAAGTAATTAGTTCAAAATAATACATATTCTATAAATGCTGATAAATAGAATTATAATTCCAATATTTCAAAAATGGATTGAAGAATAACAATGATAACATGCATACATTTCAATTAATATGAATTTATACATTTGAAATGTAAAACGAATCTCCATTTATGCAAATATTACGAATTAATTATTTTAGATTGATATTTCTTAGCCCTTTGCACTCGAAGGCTTCGGAGCGGAGCCATTTAAGTCTTCAAACTCGAGGGCCCCGCTACGGAGACAATGCAAATAATTTTCAGTTTTTAACATAAGGACAAAAACAAATCGTAAAAACTATTTATAATTTTATAATTTTTTTTTTTATATATTATAACATTTGTATTCATAAACAATTAAAAAAATAATAACATACAACGATGACTTTTCTTTTAATGCGTATATCATTAACTTACATGTAAATATGATCTTTTCACTAAAATTGCTTCAAGTTGCTGGTAATATGAATGAAAAAAAACTTCGAGTGCAAAGGCTTAAAATATGAATAATTATGTGAAATTCGTAGTTTGTATTTGAACAATACTATATAGATAATAAAAATCCTGAAAGGATTTGAATAAATAAAAATAATCTTAGCATTGGTACAAACTTTCACATTTTAGAAGAACAAATAATGAATTCAAAATTATATTTGAAATTAGGTTACATTTTAATAATTTTAAGAAATTATTCATTATCATGATCTTTTCAATTTTCATAACGATAAAAATATGTCGATAAAGATATATCTGTTGCTCTCAAAAAATCGAAAAGATTTTCAAAAAGAGTCTAATATAATAAATGTTTGGAAATTATTAATCTGATAAAATCGAATCATCTTACACGAATTATAAAATATATTTTAAACTAAAAAGCAGTGCAATCGGTTTCCAATTAAATAACATTCACCAGGAAGAATTCGGTTCATCTCGGTGATATTTGCAATGATGCCTTTCTATCATTAAGGAAAATTTACGTCTGTACATAGGTGACCGGATACTACGTCAATAAAAACCGTGGCCTCTGATTTATACTTTCGTTCGTGGGAAAGGTGTTAAGAAAGTTGAGTATAGGTATCTTTCACTTAAGTACTGAGCCATTTTCCGGAGGAAAATTACTTTTTGTTAATATCATAATAAATTGCGAGGTCAGTAACCGATTTATGTGTTCAAAAAGTAAGTACATGATATTTATACTTGTTCTTGTTTGTTTACACGTTTTGTAATGCAATATACCTTTTTACTTAAAAAGGAAGTTTATCTACTTTAGTATACGTACTTGAAAATTAAAAAAAATATTTTTATATTAGTTTATCTTCGAAATATTTTCTGTGAAATGTAATATAATGAAAGAATGAGAATGAATAAAAAGAATAATTCTTCTTCATGAAGAGGAAATAAAAGATGAAAGATTTTAATATTGTGGAATAAGTATTTTTTTTTAAATAAAATTAATTAATATAAACTTCAGTATACCAAAGAACCTTAAAATATGAATAATTATGTGAAATTCGTAGTTTGTATTTGAACAATACTATATAGATAATAAAAATCCTGAAAGGATTTGAATAAATAAAAATAATCTTAGCATTGGTACAAACTTTCACATTTTAGAAGAACAAATAATGAATTCAAAATTATATTTGAAATTAGGTTACATTTTAATAATTTTAAGAAATTATTCATTATCATGATCTTTTCAATTTTCATAACGATAAAAATATGTCGATAAAGATATATCTGTTGCTCTCAAAAAATCGAAAAGATTTTCAAAAAGAGTCTAATATAATAAATGTTTGGAAATTATTAATCTGATAAAATCGAATCATCTTACACGAATTATAAAATATATTTTAAACTAAAAAGCAGTGCAATCGGTTTCCAATTAAATAACATTCACCAGGAAGAATTCGGTTCATCTCGGTGATATTTGCAATGATGCCTTTCTATCATTAAGGAAAATTTACGTCTGTACATAGGTGACCGGATACTACGTCAATAAAAACCGTGGCCTCTGATTTATACTTTCGTTCGTGGGAAAGGTGTTAAGAAAGTTGAGTATAGGTATCTTTCACTTAAGTACTGAGCCATTTTCCGGAGGAAAATTACTTTTTGTTAATATCATAATAAATTGCGAGGTCAGTAACCGATTTATGTGTTCAAAAAGTAAGTACATGATATTTATACTTGTTCTTGTTTGTTTACACGTTTTGTAATGCAATATACCTTTTTACTTAAAAAGGAAGTTTATCTACTTTAGTATACGTACTTGAAAATTAAAAAAAATATTTTTATATTAGTTTATCTTCGAAATATTTTCTGTGAAATGTAATATAATGAAAGAATGAGAATGAATAAAAAGAATAATTCTTCTTCATGAAGAGGAAATAAAAGATGAAAGATTTTAATATTGTGGAATAAGTATTTTTTTTTAAATAAAATTAATTAATATAAACTTCAGTATACCAAAGAACTTTTACTGTGAAGTGTTACACTTAGCGAATGCAATATTAATATATTAAAGAAGACTTCCATTATATCGTCATTTTTAAATAAACTTAACCAACAGCGCTATTGGCGCACACTAATGGTGCTTTTCCGCCATCGCAAGGTACAAGAGTTTTTTGGAAACTAATTTTATTATTAAGTGAAAAAAGTTTCTGACAAATTTAATAAACATTTCATACTACTTTTTCCACGGTTTTATTAATAACAATATAAGGAAATGATCATATACGTTAACATGAAAAGTATTAATAATTTTCTGAAAATTATATTTCGTTAAAGTAATGCTTATTTTATTTAATTTTAAATTATTATCAAAATAAACACATTGTTCATTATTTATTTAGATTAAATATTAATTATATTAATATTAAAATATTTATTTCATTTAATTTATAATACAAAATTAAAAGTTTAATAACCAATTTAATCTTCTTTTTCTTTTCATTACCAAATTATGCATATATTTATTTAATCCTGATATAAATATTATACAATAATAATTAATTTCAATTTCCAAAAATCATCAGATGAATTGAGTTTGTGTAATATTAATTTTCGTTAATATTAAACGTATAAAAGGTGATAAATTATATAACCAATTAAAGAGAAAGTAGGTTTTACGGTTTTAGGGGATTGCCATATAGCAGTCATTTAAACTATTAAAAGACATTGGTCAGATGACTGCCTAATTAAATCAGTTATCGAATAAAAATGCCATCCAATTTGGAATCCGGATGCGGTGAACCTTTCTACCACTACCTACGTACGGAGAAACCCATGTTTCGTTATATCCTTATAATATTTTTTCCTCTTTTGAGTTCCTTATAATATTCTTTTACTATCAAAGTCTCATAATAGGAAATCGGTAAGTATACAAGATTTATTGCCAATTTAACCGATTTTATTTAATCTTTCCCGTAGGACATTATTTAATTACTTATCTTCTACCTTACCACTTTTTATGAATCTATGAAAAGTTATAAACACTTTCATCAAAGATTTGTTACAAAATTAAAGAAGTTATGTTTAGCTTTCTTTTTTAAAAATAATTAATATTAAAAAATTATGTGAAATTTCATTTAATTAACTAAATGTAACCTGTGTAATATTTTACATTCCATGATTCATTGTTATAATTACTGTTGTCCCAACTTATGAGGTTCACATAATTGAAATGATATAAATTGAGTGTAAACAAAACGAAACAGTATTCCATTACAATTATGGAATATTTAGTCAAAATATTTGAATTGTCATGTCATATTATGTTATTAATTTTAATTTGTAATTTTCTGTTAGTTATTAATTTTAACCTGTAATTTTCTATCAGAGAAATATAAAACTAAAAATATTTTTAGTACATTATTATATATTATAAAATATTTATCAGATATATGTAGCTTTACTAAAATAAACTTTATCAGAAATTATTTTTTAAAATGAAATGATGTTAAGAAATGATAGCCGCAAAATAATGACTGCCCTGATAAGACTCTGAATATGTAATTATTCTCTTGAACCACTCCCCTCGTAACCTAAAATATCATTCAGATCGTTGAACAAGAGTTCTAAGCATTCATTTGCGAAGAACAAGACGGGTGTTAAATGGGATACTGCTTGGAAGTAAATTGAAACTCATAATATTGTTGCAACTGCTCGAGATAATCGCTTATGACGAGCAGTTTTGTAAGATGAATTTACAGGAGAACTTGA